ATTTAATTAAATAATTGCATGTGATGGCGTGTAGGTTATGTACGTGCGTCACACAGCGGCTCCGTTCACAGTAAATGCTGCTCCACAGGAACTGTTATCATTTATATCATGTGTGGAACGTCTCAAACTCCATCTCTGCATGTTGTTGTGCGTTTGGGTTTATTATAACGTTCATCTGGGAACGCAACGTGCGCCATTTCATCAGGCTTGTAAGGTAAATCATTTATAAATCCACGCAAACACAGGAGAATACATCATTATCTCGCGGTTTCAAAATAAAAGCTCAAACCCTCACTCTTGAGTTTACACATTTTTGATGTCCACATATTCATTTAGTTACAGTGGCTATAGCATTTCTGTCCTAAATAAATGGCCAAATATTAAAGATTAAGTGGACATTTGAATTAAATGATGCTTGGTAAATATTAAACAAGTATTAGATCGCACAGTAATGTGTAAAAACAATCGTCAAGCCGTTGGCGCCCTCTGCAGGCCTTTGTTGTAATGCATACTGTACATTAGCTCTATTCACTGATCTATAATAGAGATTATATTATTTTATAATTATATATAGATCAGTGGCTCTATTACATTGTAATACAGTATTATAACAGTTTTGTTCAATAAAACCATATGATTTCTTGCTTTTGATACTTTATTTGAACTAATTATTATTGCCTCATTGCTATTATATATGTATTTTAAGTAAATTTAAAGGCTATTGTTCACTTAACCTACATCTATTTTTATTACCACAAAAATGTATTATTAATTATAATATTTTATTATTAGTAGACCAGAACACGTGGACATGTTGTCATTCTTACACTATAATACTGAACTTTGATTTCAGTGATTTGGACTATGGATGGACTAAAAGTAAATGTTGCACTTTACTTTTGCTTTAAAGGATTTCATAGAAATTTGGATTTCATTTGGAGTTTCACGACTGAAGTCCTCTGTTCATTTTTTTCATCATGCTGGAGACGTCTGTTTAAATCTGTTGTTTTCACATTTCTAAGAGTACTTTTAATACTTAACATTTTTAATAATAATAACTTTTAATAATACAATTTTAATACTTGATTCTAGTGGACTCTAAACATTGCATTTATTTAATGTGAAAACCCAACTGTTGGGGTTAATTGAAACAGATTTGTTTTCCCTTTTGTAGCTGCACTCACAGCTGTAATGAACAGAAGCCCAGAACATGTGGATATATTGACATTAAGAACATGCGGACTTTCTCAGACTTTTGTTTACATTTATACTTAAAAAAAAAAAAAAGTGGTACACTACTGAATGGCAAAATTGCAAGTTTAATAAAATGTTCTTTAAAATTGTTGATTTTTTGTGGGGAATTAATCGTTTAGATTAATCAAAATAAAAATAGTCGTTAGTGGCAGCCCTAGCAAATATTGCTGCAAAATTTGCAGCATCGTGCCATGACCTGAGGGACAAACACAACCCAGAAACACACCGCCAATAGACACGCTCTCACAGGCCAAAACTGAAATACTGTTACTCATGTACTAGGGCTGCACAATTAATCGAATTTCTAATCGCGATTACAATTACATAATCGTTCAAAGCGGCAATTAATCGAAGTCCACTTGTTATTCTGAGTTTTTTTTTTTTCTCTTTCTACAGGTTATCTTAAGGGTTTTTCCGTTTTTTTAATTTATATAATGCCATGCATATTTGAATTGTTTTTATTATTATTTAAAGAAGAAACCAATTCAATGTATAGTTGACATTTAAGGCTTAATACTATAGAAAAGCAATAAAAGCTTTTCAGTTTAAGTGTTTATTTTTATATAAAATTATGGCATGTAGTTGCTTCAAACAATGGTATAATCATTCAATGTAAATTGTGATAATCGTAATTAATAATCGCAATTACAATTTCAAGGGAACAATCGACAATTATGATTTTTGTCATAATCGTGCAGCCCTAACATGTACATAATGTTACAATTCTCGGTCCAGCAGTTGCTACAGGAAAATCATTATTATTATTATAATATATTTTTATTTTATTTTATTTTTTTTCCCTATAATGTATCTTTGGGTATATATGACATTTCCATATTAGTTATATATTACATATTAGTTATAATATATAAATAAATGTTCAGATGTTAAACCATTCTCTTTGTTGTCTTAATGCTTTGGCAATACAAAATGTATTTTTGTCATGCCAATAAAGCTATTTGAATTGAATTGTGAAATTCAAATGTTCAGATGTTCTAATGTAAATGTTCAGATGTTAAAACATTCTCTTTGTTGTCTTAATGCTTTGGCAAAACAAAATATATTTTCGTCATGCCAATACAGCTATTTGAATTGAGTGAGTGAGAGAGTGTGTGTGTGTGAGTGTGTGAGTGTGTGCGTGAGTGAGTGTGTGTGTGCGTGAGTGAGTGTGTGTGTGTGAGTGAGTGAGAGAGTGTGCGTGCGTGTGAGAGTGTGCGTGCGTGAGAGAGTG